TCTAACAATAAAGCTATATTCATAGCCATGATATGCAGCAAAACACAAAGCAGGAAATAATGGCTTCTGGTCTGAATTACTCAAAGGAGTTGTCCTGACGAAGGGCTAAAGACAAGCAACCACCTGGGACCTGCTGCCCTGATGCCCCAGCAAAAAGGGGGATGGCCTGGATGTCTCCAGCATCTGTCTGTGGTGGACAGTGACAGTCTTAGTCATGCTCAGTTTCGTTGGAGGAGTTTAAGAAACTCTTAATAATAGATCTGCATACATATGCCTTTACAGAGTGAGCACATTCTTAAACTGTCAGCTGCTTTGTTATTTGGGTCTTCTTTAAACTGTGCCTTTCTGTGATGGCATCATTTACCCATCTCCTTTTTTTTTTTTTTCTCAGAGCAACAGCGACACAAACCCCTCAAATCTATTAACATTCCCATCTTGGTGGCACACTGAGCAGCAACACTGACTCACACAACAAAGCCACGTGACTCTCCCCAATAGAGTCACATTGCTTTTGACAGCAAATTCTGAGAGGTAGTGAGCTTTTCTTTTAATTACTATTGCTGTTTGTTTGTTTTCCTCAGTTACGTCCATTGAGCTACATCTGATATTCTGCATGACACATAGTGTTAGTGACTGCAAAGAGAAAAGGGATAATGCAGCACAAAAAGGGTCAGGAGGTACAGTTTATGAATGTTGGTACCTTTTTAGTTTTACATAAAACCAGATTGGCCTCTACAATATTTTACGTAAATTTCTGGTTAAGCATTAGATCTCTACTGCCTACCCATAGCCCCACGCGAATAGGGTTTATGACCAAATGCCTAATAACTACACATCATGTGGACATATATGTGCCAGGACTATATTGGTGTAAAATCAGGAAGGGATTTTACACATAAATGGCTTCATACATGCATTCTGTTGGACATATTTCCAAGTTTCCTGATACGGCTGGCCAGTTCATTACCTAAAACCAGAATACTTCACGTGTATATATTCTGATGTTACACATATAACACTTCCCTTGTCAACAATTACTGTCAAATAATTCTCACCAATAATCTAACAAGCTGATATATTTGCACAATTCCCTACAGAGAATTAAAAAGCAAGAAGAAAATTTGTAGCCTGTTCTGACAGTGCCTCCCATAACCTGTTGGAATATAGTACTAACATCCATTCTCGTACACTCCACACTCCATATTATCTTCCTTGCTCTCCTGAAGAATTACTGAGAATGAATTATCTACTATCATTTCCCCCATAAAAAGAAATAGACTTCTTTAGGAAAGCTGGGATCTATTAAGACTATAGCCACCTACTGAACTGGTCATTGGCTCCCACAAAAATGTCTCATGCAATAAGAGACTTAGAGACAGAGAGCAAAAGAGAAACAGAGAAAGAGAATTTATACTACAGCTATCTGCTCATCCACCATTTTTCCCAGGCTTTGCCGACTTAATCCCAAATTAATGAGCCTGTTACATGATATCTAATAAAAGTGACTGGAGTAGAGATACTGTTTGGAATCTGCCACATATTTGGTTCAAAGCTGAATCGATTTCATCTATATTTAACACATGCTTGTTTTCTGTCTCACTTGTCTCCTCCACAGCTCATGGCTCACTCTTTTTTCCATCTGGGAAACTTATCTCCTAAAATGCTACCATCAATCAGCTAAAGACACTCTTCCCGACAGAGCGTCGGCCAGTTTGACTAAGCACAAGTAGTCACTAGTTTGGGGATGCCTCCCACACTCCTTAGAGCCATGTGTTTTTCTAGCCTGCCTAACCACACAAGAGCAATTTGGGATATTTATACTTACCTCCAGTTTCTATTGACATCATAGCACTACTTTTACAGAATTGGGCATAAGGTATGGCATGGGTGGCTATGGTATGGAAGGGAAGTTGCATGTGTTGCTTGTCTACCTACTTTTAACATTATTTCTTTGGCTTTTGTATTTCTACTCATTTTGGCCTGCTTTGGCTCAGTGCCTGCTCAAAAAGTATGAAAATCAAATGCTTACCAGTATGCATATCCTTTATCCCCAAAGTCTTCCCCAATAACTGGAGCCAACCCATTCTCTAGTCTTTCATGTCAATACCACTCCCAATACATTCAAATCTTTAAACTTAAAATTTGTAGCATGAAAAAAAGGAGATTAAAAAAAGAGCAAAAATGGGGTTGGCTGCAGAAGCCAAGCACTGGTAGAAGAGAAGGAAAGAGGGGGAGCAGGAGCCAGGCGGCCCCCTCCCCACAAAATTCCAGTCATGAGCATACCCACTGGCTGCAGCACAAGAGCGCTGTGCGTGGGCACAGGTGGGTCCCAGCCTCTCGGGCTGGATGCTGCTTAAGCTCTGAGCCTGAATGAGGACTTTCATTGCTGTTTGCTGTTTTTGTTGGCCAGTAGCCACGGCTGCAGCACAAGAGCGCTGTGCGTGGGCACAGGTGGGTCCCAGCCTCTCGGGCTGGATGCAGCTTAAGCTCTGAGCCTGAATGAGGACTTTCATTGCTGTTTGCTGTTTTTGTTGGCCAGTAGCCACGGCAAACATTTGCAGGTGGCTTGGCCAGATTTTGACACTTAAATATTTGAGGTTGTGATAAAAATCAGAATATTACTACAATATGGTTCTGTGCAGCCTCAAAAAAAAAAAAAAGAAAGAAAGAAAGAAAGAAAAGAAAAAAGCTATCTGCAATTTCAAATGCTCATTTAAAGACACAGTCTCCAGAGGCAACTCATGTTTTAAAATAAGTACTCATTTCCTCTTTGCTGAGGGAAATAAAAGAGTCAACCATCCCCAAATGGTACCACCTAGAGTTTCATAGTGAATCCACTGGTGAGATGGGTTGGCTGTTTCTTGCTGAGCCCCCATGATCATCCGGCAAGGTTTTGGATGGATCACATGGAGAAAAATGGTAATGACAGGATGTGTGGGTTTGAATCAACATGGTAAGCACGACAGGGAGGAATCTGAGAAAAAGAAATAGGCTCCCTCAAGCTTGGCAATGAGACAAAGCCCTAAAAGTGACAATTATCTCCTAGAACACACCAGGAGAGACATACAACACCCCGGGATGGGGCGTAAATGGGAAGATGGAGTGCGTTGGGAGGTCACACATACCAGAGAAACACCCCCCATCCATCCAGGCATAGTGACACAGCCTACAAATGTTACCCACATGTACAGTCCTGGGCCGGCTGGGTAAATTAACGACAGAGTCAACACCCATCTTAAAACTTAGTGCTAACCTTAAAAGATTGTTTCATAAAAACCAGCATTGTACTAACAATGGCTGAATACTAAGGGACTCCAAGAGGGTCGTGGGGGGAGAGGGGAGGCGGGAGAACTCCAGGGGGGAAGGAATGCTGTAAAACTGCTAGTAAACTCCAGCACATTCTATATTTTTTTTCCTCCCTTGAAAGAAAAATAAAATAATTATAATTAGCTGCCTAACTGCAAATTGTCTGCCCAAAGCCAAGCCACTAGAGTGAAGGAGTCCCTTGAGATTTAGATGCTGTCTTTAATGAATCCACCCCACCCTCTTAGTATATTATGGGTTCTTGCTTTAGATGGTGGCAACACTTGCTCTCACAGTCATTTGAGAGAAAAGAAATCTTTAACAGAGACACTTGCTAATTTAGTGTTGGCTTCTTCAAACAAAGCCAAGCATTCAAACGGCCAGATTCATTTTCTGTTTCTTCAATGGGAAACCAAATGTACCTGCGGCAAACTCATGAAATAGTCATTACCTGTGACTTTCTTTTCTTAAGGTGGGTCTTTACACATCACAACCCATCCTGGTAAGTTGAGAGATGTGAGAGAAAAGGTAGCCCTCCTAGAGCATTCTACAAAGGAATACGCCAGTATTGCCCTCAGTGCTCTGTTGGTCTGGGATTCTTACAATATTAAAAACAAGGGGGAGAGACACCCTGACAAATTGTGGGACAGCTTCTTGATTTCCTAAAAAATCACCACATTCAACATTCAGCTGAAAATTCATACTGAATTCTGGTGCGGGTACCAAACACAGCAAGCTCCCCTTCTCATTTTAAACAGAGGATTCTGGGAACACAGAGCAGCCAGTTCTCAGCATCCAGCAACATAAGTTTATCACAGCTCTTTGGCTTAACTTACTACCTTTTCTTCCTAAGAACTTGAATGCTTTTACATCTTTGATTTCGTCTTCACTCTCGTGAGGCTGGTAAGGACAGACACCATCCTCACTCTGGAGCTAAGGAAGCTGGCCCAGACAGTCTGCATTTCGAAGAAGCTCCAGGTGATGCTCAAGCTTCTGGTCCTTGGACCGCACTCTGCATTGGAAGGGGCTAGGGCTGTCACATGATATTGAGAAGCGACAGCTCTTTCCATCACATGATATAGTATCTGGGATTCCGTCACAGGATCTTCCTACCAATTTTTCCTCGGTGCCTCAGCACTGTCTTTTTACAGAGGGAGAGGGCCTGATTTCTTCGTTTTGTCTACTCCAGGACTGAGTATGGACCAAGGTAGAGGGAAGGGAAGCTAGTGAGCAGGTACTAACAAGGGAGAGAAAGAGGGAAGCATGATCACAGGGAAGGAGGACTGTGGAAATGTGCAAAAGACACGGGTGATGGGCTTAGCATCTCCCAGGAAGGGAGGAGCGTGCTCTGCTGGGGAGGAGGCTGGGCTGGCAGAACTTTCCTCCACCATCATCAAACATTTTTCTTGAGCACTATGTTCTGGTCTCCAAACACCCATAGGTTTCCCTGCAGTCCTCTTAAATTTCACAAACGGCTTGTTCACCTCCACCCGCCCCCCCATGTCCAGGATCAAAACAGCTTCCACCAAACTGAGACCCCCCTCTCCCTTCTCCTGTCATAATAATCACTCCAAGCTCTAGGCAATATCACACCAGCCACGAAAAACAACCAATCCAAGCAGCAGAAACAAGGAGAAAGTCCAGAACATTCCCTGAGCTCCAGCCAGGACCCAGTGACAGCCGAGGAGGTCTCTTACCCGATCTGGCGATTGGTGGAAGGTGCCTGTGTGATGACAGAGCTGGACTGGGGTGATGGCATGGCTTGCTGAATCACTACGCTGGTGTCGTGGTTGGGCATCCGGGTGCTGCCAAGCTGGTGAGCTCCGGGCCCCGTCATGGCCCCACCGACTGCATTATGCATCGAGATATTCTGCCCAGAAGACAGAGGAGAAAGGTCAGAAGGAGTCCATGTTTTATTCTACTCTCAAGCTCTCAAAGGCCAAAATTGGGAATCTGGGCATGTCAGCTAAATAGAGAGTTATGGCTTCTGGCAAGCTGCGGGTCCATTCATCTTGCTATAAGCTACAGCTAAGAGGAGATGAAAAATAACTACTCCCCCTTAGAGTGAAGTGCACAGGAAAATGCCCTGACGTTTACTTATCACTCTGCCGCCATCCTGATGTGAGGTTTACATCAGGAATATTTAGTGCATACCTTCTCTGACGTGGTGCGTTATATACTGCATTTGAAAATGATGTCTGTGGTCAGTGCTTAATACTGTGATTTAGTGAAGTTGATTCTGCATTCTGCTTTGAACGACAAGCATGCTAGGTTATTTTTTTGGTTACAGTTCTATAAGAGTGGCCAGTCATCTAATTTTTTTCCAGGAAGCTACTACTTTTCCAAATCATAATCTGGACACTCATGATTCCCTGATGGGTGTGTAGTATGATTGTCTCTAAAATATGGAATATGTTCATTTCTTTTTAGAATTTTAGATTTTAAGGCACTCTTTCAATTATGAGCTGGAGAAATACGGAGGATCAGGATTAAGAAGAAGGCCACAAACATGGTATGTATATTGGAAGATAAAGCCTTTGAAAAAATATTAAACAAGCCCTTGAGGGAAGATGTCAAGAGGTCAACTTCAGTTTTGGAGCACTGTGGCTGAAATGATGGCAATGACCATTCTTTATGTCCACGTAAAAACTAAGGAAAACTGACTCATGCTGCAGCACAAAGAACTTGGCTTGACTTCTTCAGAGTAAAGCATGTTAAATAAAAGAAAGGAGAATCCTTCCCCCACCCAAAAAGCTGAAGAATCTTTTCTGAGAATCACCGAAAGGGCCCCTCTTGTATACTGGAACATTTTTCAGACTTGGGAAAATACTGTAGTTGGGTAAAGTAAGATGAAAAGAAATAGAGATTTGCATTGGGATATACTTTAGTTCCTTTTGTAGGACACAGATATTTACAGAACCAAACCAAAAATAATAATAAAGATGAAGATACTTGTGCTATTTCTTTTGAAAGTGAACCTTAACACACTTATTTCCCTGGGTCATACTGAGGTGTTGATGTGGTAAACAATTACAGGTATTATTTTTTCCATTGTTTGGATCCTCAAAGATACTCAAAATTTTTCACCTTACTCACAATTGTCTGCTTTGTCAATAATAGATCCGAAGCATGAAATGATTTCTGACTCTCTTTTAGAATAATTTCCACAGTGTTGTGCCACCAGAGGTTATCAATAAAGATGTTCAATTTGATCTTTTAGACCACAATCTTCAAATTGACAAAGTAGAATATAAAATGTATGAACCCTCCTGGAGTTACCCAAGACACCTCTTCTTCACCCACATAGGCAGTCCCCCAGTCCTACAGATAGTTAACGTAGGTGTCCCTCATCTCTTTCTCTCTTTCTGTCTCTCCTTCCATCAACCTACACCCAACCACCATCATCTCTTTTACTGGACTAGACATTGGTCTCCTAACTGGTCTCCTTCACTCACTCCGGCTTCCCTTCCTCCTGTGAGAAAGTCATTCTACAGACACAGCGATCTTTTCAAAATGCCAAACAGATCACATCACACACGAGTCCCCCTATGTGCCTCTGTCCAAGCCACTGGATGGCTTCATGCATGGTTTGGAAGACACTGACATCACTCTCTGTGTGACCTCCAAGACCTGTGTGAGACCCTTCCTGCCGTCCACATCTCGCACGGTCCTCACTNGCAGAAACAAGGAGAAAGTCCAGAACATTCCCTGAGCTCCAGCCAGGACCCAGTGACAGCCAAGGAGGTCTCTTACCCGATCTGGCGATTGGTGGAAGGTGCCTGTGTGATGACAGAGCTGGACTGGGGTGATGGCATGGATTGCTGAATCACTACGCTGGTGTCGTGGTTGGGCATCCGGGTGCTGCCAAGCTGGTGAGCTCCGGGCCCCGTCATGGCCCCACCGACTGCATTATGCATCGAGATATTCTGCCCAGAAGACAGAGGAGAAAGGTCAGAAGGAGTCCATGTTTTATTCTACTCTCAAGCTCTCAAAGGCCAAAATTGGGAATCTGGGCATGTCAGCTAAATAGAGAGTTATGGCTTCTGGCAAGTTGCGGGTCCATTCATCTTGCTATAACCTACAGCTAAGAGGAGATGAAAAATAACTACTCCCCCTTAGAGTGAAGTGCACAGGAAAATGCCCTGACGTTTACTTATCACTCTGCCACCATCCTGATGTGAGGTTTACATCAGGAATATTTAGTGCATACCTTCTCTGACGTGGTGCATTATATACTGCATTTGAAAATGATGTCTGTGGTCAGTGCTTAATACTGTGATTTAGTGAAGTTGATTCTGCATTCTGCTTTGAACAACAAGCATGCTAGGTTATTTTTTCGGTTACAGTTCTATAAGAGTGGCCGATCATCTAATTTTTTTCCAGGAAGCTACTACTTTTCCAAATCATAATCTGGACACTCATGACACAAACTCAACAAGCTGTGGGATGAGGAAGGACAGTTTGAATAGACAAAGGGGTGTCTGGGATCCCATGACGTGGGGAGGAGTTGCAGCCCTCTGAGGCGTTTGTGTACAATCAGCGTTTAACTGTTGTACAGAATAATGGAATATAGAGCATACCTGCTTGTCTGTTTACTCGTTCACTACCTTTTTCTCTAGAATGCAGGATGTTTGTGTTTACAATTCTATCCCATGGTGCTTGGAGCATAGTAGCATTCAATAAACATACACCGTGCTACCCGAATAAACCAGTGAAAAAACAATGAGATACCTGAGTCACTTAAGGGGCCTAAAATCATGTATTTATTTCTGACAACTTGGATGGAGGCTTCTTTGTTTGAAATTCAAAAGTAAGGTGAAATGTGGGAGATAAAACTAGTTTAAAAGACAGCTCTTCATAAAAAATAATGTCACTGGGACAAGAAGGACTTCACACTGAGGTAGAAGAGGCTGATTGACATGTTGGTGCTGAAATGTGAGAAATTCAGAACCCAGTCAAGAAAAAGAAGGTGCTGGGCTAACTGATGTAACAGGTGAGGGCAGTAAGTGGGTCTCTGCAAACAGCTAGGTCCACTCTTCAGTCTAGAAGGGTAGGGAAACTTGAGAGGTCAATTGGACAATGACCTGAGGATGGCAGGGAAAGAAATGGAGTGTTACTAGCAATTTATTAGAGGAAGAATATATATCTGTCTGCGCTTTGGTGTTAGCAAAGAAAAAATGAATGTTACCCAGGAGAACTAGAAGTGGTCTTTTGAAGTTCCTCTGCAAAGAACAGGATTTCCTGCACCATGTGTTAAATGATGGTGATAACATATATGGTATTTGGGGTGGCTGTGTCCATCACGTTGCACCTTTCCCAGGGTTCTGATTTCTAAATCCTGACCACACAGTTTGTCAGGAGTCCAGATGGAAACTGGGCACTTGGCTTAGAATGTGAGCCAACTGTGTTGTCGTGGGATCCCAAAGGCGTGAACAGGCATATATATATACACGTTCAGAGGCCCCTCTTGTATACTGGAACATTTTTCAGACTTGGGAAAATACTGTAGTTGGGTAAAGTAAGATGAAAAGAAATAGAGATTTGCATTGGGATATACTTTAGTTCCTTTTGTAGGACACAGATATTTACAGAACCAAACCAAAAATAATAATAAAGATGAAGATACTTGTGCTATTTCTTTTGAAAGTGAACCTTAACACACTTATTTCCCTGGGTCATACTGAGGTGTTGATGTGGTAAACAATTACAGGTATTATTTTTTCCATTGTTTGGATCCTCAAAGATACTCAAAATTTTTCACCTTACTCACAATTGTCTGCTTTGTCAATAATAGATCCGAAGCATGAAATGATTTCTGACTCTCTTTTAGAATAATTTCCACAGTGTTGTGCCACCAGAGGTTATCAATAAAGATGTTCAATTTGATCTTTTAGACCACAATCTTCAAATTGACAAAGTAGAATATAAAATGTATGAACCCTCCTGGAGTTACCCAAGACACCTCTTCTTCACCCACATAGGCAGTCCCCCAGTCCTACAGATAGTTAACGTAGGTGTCCCTCATCTCTTTCTCTCTTTCTGTCTATCCTTCCATCAACCTACACCCAACCACCATCATCTCTTTTACTGGACTAGACATTGGTCTCCTTCACTCACTCCGGCTTCCCTTCCTCCTGTGAGAAAGTCATTCTACAGACACAGCGATCTTTTCAAAATGCCAAACAGATCACATCACACACGAGTCCTCCTATGTGCCTCTGTCCAAGCCACTGGATGGCTTCATGCATGGTTTGGAAGACACTGACATCACTCTCTCTGTGACCTCCAAGACCTGTGTGAGACCCTTCCTGCCGTCCACATCTCGCACGGTCCTCACTCTTGCTGTCTAAGATTCATCCCATCTTCCCGGACTTTCCTGCTTTTTTTCTGACCATGCTCCATTTCAGCACCAGGCCTTGGAATATGCTGTTTTCTGACACCAATTTTCCACCCCACCTCCAGTAATGGGCACTGTAGTGGATTGAATTATGTCCCCTCAGAACTCACTGAAGCTTGAATTATGTCCCCCAAGTTTTATGTATTACGTACTTGGCTCTCACTGTGACAGTTAAGAGGGTGGGAAATCCTACTACAGTAATTGAAAGGTGGAGCCTTGAAGAGGTGATTGGATTGTAGGACCGTGCAGTAGAGAACAGATTTAAAATGGTGGTCAGGGGCGTGATTCTGAGGCTTTAAAAGAAGAGAAGAGTCTGTCTTTCTCTCTCTTTACTCTCTCTGCTTCCACCATCTTGCAATGTGAGACCCCTGGGTCACTGTCACCACCACCAGATGGACTTTGACTCCCAGACTCAGAAACTGTAAGCAATAAATTTCATTTTCTTTATAAATCACCCAGTTTCGAGTATTTTGTTATAA